GTATTTTGTATCCAATATTTACCTTTGGACAGTTCATATCTGGTATATAAATCGTCTTTATCTTTCAAGAATGGATGATGTGTCTGTGTACTCATTTACCTGAGCGTGAATGTGTGACTGTTGTGTTTTTGTCTTGTTTTAAAGATAAAATCGGCTTCCTGTGCAGCGTTTGAGGCCTCTGCTTCACACACTCAGTGATTAATCGAAGTGGAGACGATGCAGACGGGGAATCTCTGAGTGGATTGGAGGATTGGGAGGATTTATCTGTCGTTCTTGTATCTGAGCCGTTCCTGGTAGATTATGAAACCATTTAACCCTGTAATCACAGACAATCCTGTCATCTGAGGGAGAAAAGAGACATGATAGTGTTGTGAGCATCCTCCGCTGCAGCGTCGGCGTCTGTTTGTTTTTAACCGCGTGGTTGTCATTCGACAAACACCCACCACAATGAGGACGACAAACATGTCCGGCAGCTCCAATCAATGTAGCTCAGAGTTTAAATATACACTGAAAAACACAGAGATATCGCTCTCTCTCTCTTTTAAAGCAGACATATGGTCATATTTCAATTATTCATTCATTTGTCATATTTCAATTATTCATTCATTTGTCAGTTAACCCCCTCTACTGTATCGCAGTCTGATATATCTTCTTCCTCTGTAGAGCAGTGGCCCCCACCCACTGGGCCACGGACCAACATTTAAAAACCTGAATAATGCATTGTAGGCAATGTGTGCAGTAATACCACTGAACTTGGCCCAGTCTGCGCGCTCCACTGCGCTGTCATGCCGGTTGTACGGTCGCAACTAGCTAACATTAGCTTCAAGGAACAAAGACAAGCCTGAATATCGAGAATATCGAGATAGCTACAAAAGCACTAAAAACATTGCTTCCATTTTATCATATTTTTATGTGAATGCAACGAAAGCTAAACTGAGGATTAGACTGGATATAAGAGACAGACTCCAAGTGTCGCTGTCTTCAGTGGGACCGTCTTGTTGCAGGAAATCAAGCTCAGCTCTCCGACTGAAAAAAAAAAGAAAAAGAACTTGAAAAGTCAAACTTATGAGATAAAAAGTCATAATTATGAAATAAAATAACATAATTTCTTTTTATCTTGTTTATCTTATAATTATGACCTTATATCTAATTTTGAGTGTTCATCTCATAATTTAACTTTTTTCCCAGAATTATGACTTTCTAATAATAGCGATTTTCTATGATAATTTTGATTTATCATTTTTTTATAGTTTAGTAGTTAGTTTAGTTTTCATCTTATTTTTTATTTTGCTGGCAGAAATGGGCTTCCATAGATTCCAGTGTGAACTGTTCACAGTCCTGAACTTGACCCACATGCCCTAAAGAATGCGACACACGCTGTCATATGGGAGGGAACATGGAGGACAAAGAAGAAGCCTAAATTATGGCTTTTTGTGGAGGAATGTGGCTGATACTCCATTTATGAGTTGGAGAAAACACAGACCGGTTCTGATTTGATTGAAGTGTCACCACCTAATACCTACCTCACTGTCCTCAACGGACTCCCGCCAGCGCAGAACGTAACCTTTCTTGGTGCTAATGATGGCGATACAACAGTCGGCTTAAACCTCTGATCAACAGCAAGGTAATGACAAAAAGTGGTGCTATTTAAAATTCAGCAAGATAAAACAGCCTCACCTGATTTAAATCCTTTTTAACATCATTATTTTGTTTTTTGCCAGTCGGCTCCAGTTAAACAAAATAATTGTGGGATTCATTCTGCATAAAGGCCGGCAAGTGTGTGCGTCTGAAAAATAAAATAAAAAACACCATAAACAGCATAACCATAAAGAGGAGACAATCATTGTCGGGCTGGAAAATGGATTCCATTTGTGTCGGAGGCACATTTCATTGTAGCTCAGACAATGAGTGACACAGTTCATGGTACCGAATTCATCAATTAATCTGCATCCACTTCCATCCATTCACCCCCTCCTTTCTCTTCACTCCTTCTTCTATTGTGTTCGAGGCGGGTCTCATTTTTTCATTGTTACCGCTGAGTGGCACCTCTCCATTTTTAATCAAGGACTTCAGGACTAAAGATAGCGTCGGGCTTCAATCCAGTCAAAGAGCTCTGGCTCTGTTATTGAATTATTCTATCAGTTTTCTGTCTCCATCATAAAGAACAGATCCTATTGTTAAGAAATAGATTCTCATTTGGAGCAGCTAAATGGGAGTGCAGCAGAAGAATGGCTCTGTCATGTTTCCACCACCCTCATCTCCTGTGTTCATTGCTGCTTTGCCCGCCGCTGAAATTGACTTTAAGTAGACGCGGAGGATAACATCAATGTCAGAGGCAGAACAGTTCAATTTAAGAGCTCTGTCAGGTGGAAATATGACGGACCGCATTTGTCCTCAAGATTAAAGCAAAATGATTTTCCATTAGTCCAAAGCACGTCATCCCCATCTGAGGGAGTCAAACACAACAAGAGGCAAAGCGAGGTCTCAGAACATGATTCAATTGTGGCGAATTTTCCAGGAAATTAACTCTTAAGGCTTCATTTTGTGTTCATAAATGATGTGAAGATTACAACTGAGGAATTACTGGACTAAAGGACGGATTGTACATGCAGCCGTTATGTTTTTTCCAACCCGGTTTTACTCCCAAGTCATCAAATGCTGCCACCGGTCAGCGGCCCTCCGCTTCACAATATGACGCTGTAGGTTTCCCTCTGGACACCGTTGAAGCCATGTGACGTAGTTTAATGAGCGATAGTCCACATATGGAGGTGGTGGATGGCTTTAACTAGGGCTAAAGATTTTCCTAATCGACTAGTTGTTGCATGGTTATAATAGAACAGGGCGCCCTAATAATATTAATTTCATTATTTAAATCTCTATATGTGAACAGCGGCCTGTAAACACAAACAGCAGTAATGATTGTGAATCAGAACAAGCAGCAAGGAGACTGAACCTTTAGTTCATTTATTCCAACACAGTGTAACATCACACAGTCTGCTTGTTCAACACACGGAATAAATAACTTCCAACTTCACTGAAACTGATCCTGACTAAGCGATACGATGGATGATGGATAACATTAACAGTTACTGACTAATTAACTTGCTACAAACTGGCTCCTCTTCCTCCGTTTCATTCCTCTCCTGTTGCTGCCTGAACCTACCGTGTCTTCATCCCCAGAGTCAGAGTCCTGGTCGGAGTCGCTGGACATCAGCTGGCCTCCGTCAGTCTCCGGGGCTGGGAACCCAGTCCCCTTGCAAGGTCAGTTCTCGCTCAGTTCTGGTGCTCATTCTCCTACGCTAGCTCCTACGCTAGCAGTGTAAACAAACCTCCCCGTCCCTCAAGCTCCCCTCAACTTCTGTCACAGTGACAAGGCGCAGCTCCTGAACAGAGTTTAACATTGTTATTTTTTATCCCCCTCATGGAAAGCGGGTCGACTAGGACTCTCTTTATGGACTGTTTAGTTGACTATTAGGGGGCAGCCCTAACTTTAATCCAAGAGACTGCTGTTTGTGTCCCATGTGAGCCAGCGTCTTCTCGCTGCGCCCTCCCTGAAGGCTGCTGTGAGCTCATAAAATATTTAAAATATGACACTGAAACACCAGCCAGATTCTGACACCTCCCTGTCATCCCTTTTCACCTTGGAGAGATTTTCATCTTGGAGTGGAGACGGTGACATCTCACTCTGGGTTTTGGCTCGACCAGGCCGCCTTCCGCTAAGTGATGAGTCTACTTCTTTACTTTGGACCTTTTCCCAGAAATATCTGCCACCAGACAGCAGGTGGTACAGACTTCATGAAATCTGGACAGAGAGCAAAAACATTAATGTGTGAAAAGTTTTGGATTATTGACTGTTATAAACTTGTTTTCTGGTTTTCTTTTTCAGAATGAACGGCTCTGCACATCAAGTCTGTGACTTCCATATGCTTTCTTTTAATCCGTCATCCAATTAAAAGTGTTATGCACAGAAACCTTGCACACTGATACCGATGATATTCTGTTTGTTAAGGGATGTTTTGTGGTTCCCTCTTAGAGTTGAAGGGGAAATATTGGGTTCAAGGCTTGAAGAACAAGGAGAGTTTTGCCTGCTGATAAAGGCTGTCTCCACTCTCTGACCACATCTTGTATTCGGCACCGTGGCTAGAAGAGGCTGAGCCTTCCCTTCCTCTCCATCTCTGTGGCGTCCTCATCTGACGGTGTCTGTGTGTAAACGCGACTGACACAAGGTCGTATTTATTTAGAAGAAAACTACGGACTCGGTGTGCAGCATCCTTTTAGTGCAGAGCTGAAAGAAGATTACGAGACACATAGATTATTAATGGTAACACAATTTATCAAGTATTTCATTATAAACTTTATTAGGCATTTTACGACTTCCCTTTGGGCGATAACGTGAACGGTATTTGATTATTTAAGTTAAATTTAGAAATAATGACTAGATGAGAAAACAAATCTGTAATTGGAAACATAATTGTTAGTTGCAGCCC